CCAAAAATGACAGATAAACTCGATTGTACGTTGTTAAGAAGGCTATGAAGAATCGAAAAAAATGGTTAAAAAATTTCTGAACCAAATTTTTGGAATATTAAACTTCAAAATTGATAAATTAACTTCGTAATTCTGATATGTTTTGATGTGCATTTCATTGACAGTGTAAAATTCCGATCCGAATTGTCAAAAATGACATCTGTCAACAGTAAAAAAAATGACGTTGTGGGTGTTGTTATGGCTATTTATTATTAAATTATTAATAACTATATACTTATCTGTTATCAGGCATGTAGTTCATTAAAAGATATCCAAATTACGACGTTAATTCTTCAACATTGAAGTTTAATATTTTCAACAATTTGATTTGGCAATTTTTTAAACCATTTTTTCCTGCCTTTTTAGAACACCCTGTATATAAGGAAAATGACCTTGTTGTGTTATTTTTTGAGATCAATCAGAATATCTAAAATTATATAGGATGTTTCACACAAAAAAGCTACTAGTGCGGTCTTTTTGTCAAAGTGGTCACGTTTAACAATAATAGGCTAACATGTTTCGGCACACACTGCATGGTACCATCATCAGAGTTAAAAAAATTGCTGGTAAATGACTTTATAAAAAGATTTATAATAATGATAAACTTATTATATATAAAAAAAAAATAATAATAATTTACATCTCGTGCCTGAAAAACAAAACTCTATACTTGAAAATAAAAAAAATGTACATATATTCGAAAATAAAAAACTGTATAATATTGGTATTGAAATCGAGTAGCGCATGCTTATTGGTTCATCCGGTATAATAATTACTGTAAAAAGAATAATTCGACGGTGTTTTCCCAAAAACATGTAAACTTTTATTTTCTCGAATGTTACATTAATTTTCTTAACCATAAAAATAATTAAACACTGATTTTGTAAATTTTTAACTCGTCACGTATTATTTTAAACCTTCAAAATTAAAATTTCTTTTCCAATTTTTTATTGAAATTTTTGTGTAAATTATTATGAAGATATGATCACTCAAATATTTACCACGTTATCACAGAATTCAAAAAATGAAAAATCAAAAACTTTCGAGAAACTTAAAAATCGAAAAATCGAGTAATTTTATGAATCGAAAAACCGAGAAAAAAATTGAAAAATCTAAAATTTAAAAATGGAAAAAAAAGAAAAAAATCGAGGATGAAAAATCGAAAAACCCAAAATTTAAAAAATTGAAAAATTTTAAAATTGAAATGACGAAAAATTGGGACATGGAAAAAGTGGAAAATCGGAACATCGAAGAATTGGAAATCGAAAAGTCGAAAAATTGAAAAATTAAAAAAAAAAAACGGTAACACGAAAAATCGAAAAATCAAAAAATTACTAATTTTAATCGAAATAATCGAAATCTAAGTTGAAAATCGAGTAACTAAAATATACAAAAAATTGAAAAAATCGAGAAATTGATTGAAAAACTCCCAAAATTGAACTGTTCAAAAAATTAAAAATTTGAAAAATCGAGAAAGTTGAACAATTTTATACATCGACAAACCGAGTACTCAAGAAATCGAATCAAAAAATCGATAAACAATTTTAAATTTTGAAAAACTGAAAAATCGAAGAACTGAAAAATTGAAACATCAAAAATTGAACAACTGAAAAATCTAAAAATGAAAAAATAAAAAATTGAGAAATCGAAGAAAAATTAAAGAATCAAAAAATTCATTAACCCCAAAACTGAAACATCGAAAAATTGAGAAATCGAGAAGTTGAAAAATCGAAAGATCAAAAAATTGACAATTTTTTAAAAATCCAGAAATTGATCTAAAAACTCCCAAAATTGAACTGTTGAAAAAATGAACAATCGAGTAATTTAAAAATCGAATAAAAAAAATCGTGAAATTGAAAAATCATTTTAAAAATTTGAAACACTGAAAAAGCTAACTTAAAAACTGAAACATCAAAAATTGGACAAATTCAAAAATCTAAAATTTAATAGAAAAATCGAGAAATTCAAAAGTTCCAAAATTAAAATGACGAAAAATTGGGAAATCGAAAAATGAAAAATCGGAACATGCAAAAAATGAAAAATCGGAACATCGAAGAATTGGAAAATCGAAAAACCGATAAGTCGAAAAATTGAAAAATTGAAAAATCTAAAAAGCCCAAAATCGAAAAATCAAAGTTAAAAATTTCAAATTAAAAAAATCTCGAGAAATCGCAAAACTGAAAAATCGAAAAATCAAAAAGTTTAAAAATCGTAAAACTGAGAAACCGAAAATCTAAAACTAAGAAGTAGAAAAATCGAGAAATCGAAACATCAAAAAACTGAAAAATCTAAAATTAAAAATCGAAGAAAAATTGGAGAATCAAAAAATCCCAAAACTGAAACATTGAAAAATTGAGGAATCGAGAATTTGAAAAGCCTGTAATCGAAGTCGAAAATTAAAAAAATAGGAAAATCAAAACCCTGAAAAATCGAATAATTGAAACTCGAAAAACCGGTAAGTCGAAGAATCGCAACACCGAAATTTGGAAAACTTAAAAATTTATGTAACGAAACGTTTTCTTAACCATAAAAATAATTAAACAATGATTTTGTTTATTTTTAACTCGTCACGTATTATTTTAAACCTTCAAAATTAAAATTTCTTTTTTGATTGAAATTTTTGTGTAAATTATTATGAAGATATGATCACACAAATATTTACCACGTTATCACAGAATTCAAAGATTCTATGTTCAATTCCAGATCGAAATTTTTATTTGGGATAAAATATTAGAGGTAGATTTAGGCACCGAACAATAAAGTGTAAAAAATTCCTCAAAATATTATGATACCCAAGAACACCTCTTTTATTCAGTAGAATTTTTTACCATAATTACACTAAAAAAAATTATGAAAGCTCATTTGTATATTTGTTGCCGCTGTAATTTTTTGTATGTAAAAACCGATGTTTTAAGTTTGGGACAACTTTTTTCTAGCAGCCCAATAAAAAGTGGAACCTAATTAAATTGAACGTTAAACAAAATGTAACAAAAGTTCTTAAAAAAAACAGGAAAACCGACGTCGGATTTTAGCCCGATATGAAAATTATTCAATAAAAGCCGACTCTTTCAGGTCTCTCTCCAAAGAGTCGTTGCTCAATTACCATACTCCCTGTCTTCCGCCTCCTTAAACAAAGCCCTTTTTTCCTAACCCTTTAATTTTTTTTCCAACGCCACCGGTGTGCCCCTCACTCCGCTTAATTTTTTTTCTACCGCCTGGATCCGCCAGTGTTTCTCACGATAAATGAACGAGGTACGGGCCATCATCTATCTTCCGTTTGTCTAATCGTTAATAGCCATTTTTGTCACGTCTGCGAGATTTGCATACGGGGTTGCGGAATGGTAAAAAATGAATTCTTTCATCTTAGCTCCCTCAGGTATATGCAGATGAGGCTCATAGTTTTTTTGCCCGAGGGTCTCCTCTTATAGTTTTTTCTATTATCTATGGATCCACGTTTTTATTATCTCACGGTGTAAGAGCTGGTTTTAATTTTATTTATTTATGCGGAGGGGTGGTGGGTATTTGGGTGGAGAGGTAGAGGGGTTTTGTTTACTCGAAGATTTAGTGATATTAGGAGGTACTTCAAAGTGAGGGTTTGAGCTGCTTAATGAGATGAAAATTATAATAAAGTAATTAATTTTGTTATAAATATTAAATGAATATTACAAAGTTGTTTTTTGCATTGTTACTTTGTAAGCTGAATTAATTACAATATTCAATAGGTGTGTATTTTTTCGATTTAAAGCAGCATAACTTCGTTGTATGTTTAAATTACGAGTAAGTAAAGCAGATAATTAATTTCAGAAATAGTCTTGATAGTTACAATTTTTTTAAATTATTACATTTCATTATAAAAATTACGAAATATTCTGATTTTACCAAAATTTTTTATTAAAGATATTTCAACTGTGGTGGGATAAGTTAATGAAGGCTTTGAAAGAACTGAAGGAATTTTTTGTGTAAAATTTTGCAAGTCTTTTGAAAGCTCAGAAATTTGATTTTTCAATTAAAATTATACTCGGGAAGTGAAAAGGCTGACTTCAACAACAATTCTGGTGTTTTTTAAATATGGATGAATAAATTAAACATCGAGGACTAAAAAAATTAGAAAATTGGTTAAAATGTTATAATTATATGATAGAAAACTAAACATCTGTTTAGACTTAAAATCTTCATTAATTAAAAATTTTAATACAGTCAATTTGACGAGATTTAAAGTTTTCAAAAAAAGAAAAAATCAAAATTTAAGATTTTGCAAATTAATTGCAAAACTACACTAGAAGTTCGCAACACAAGACATTAATCTTAGATAAAGCGTTGTGATAGTTTTGAAAAATCTCATATTTTATTAAACTAAATCTCCAACAAACTTACAACTAAAAACCGCAAAGTTTCGAACATTTCAAAAGTTCAGTCAATATCGGCTTAAAAAAATTAAGCAAATCTTTCACAAAAATACAGAAAGCTCCATTCAAACAAATAACCAAATAAAGCTTTCATTTTACTTGTTCTCAAGTTACACGAAGTATTTATTTTAAAATTCTTCTTCGAGCTTCCACACAATTCCCATTTCGCCGTATTATCGCATTTCTCCTGATCGACAACGACTTACGTACATTATTATTATTCAATTTCATAACACAAAAACGCTCCCAACAAAATCTGGAGCCAGACAACTTCATTTTTTATTTCTCCAAATATGAATACTAAAAGTTGCTCAAGGCATAAAAATTTCCAGCAGTACTTTTTTCCTTAGCATTATAAAAAAAATCCCATTTCGCCTTCTCGAAACTGTTTACTAATTTTTTTGCACGTTTTGGAATAAAAGCCATTTCATTAGCGCTGTTGTTGCAAAAAACGTATTTGTCGCAATTTAAAATCTCTCTGCGATATATGGGGTGTTAATATTTTCTGTACACCGTTTACCGAACAGATGGAGCGTTAGAACCGTGTCAACTTACCTCCTGGTTCCAGGACATGTAGTGGGACATCGCCGGGTCCATGTGCTCCGCCATGACGCTCATCCAATGGACCAGACCTTGCGCCCCCTGGCCACCCACGCCCCCCGACTGCGGCCCCGAGGGGCTGCCGCCCGATTGGGCGCCGTCCCAACCGAATGCTTTCTGTAATATAAATAATAAAAAAGAGTCATTAGCACGTGCAGAAAAAATCCAATTGAAGGTTTTAAAATGGATGAAGGATAGAGGACGGACGGCGAGACGAAAGCGGCGGGGAGGAAAATGTTGTTTTGTTTCAATTTTCTGTATTGTTTTATCATTCGAGTTATAACGTCGCTCCGGAGAATCTCAAAAAGCAGAGAGGAAAAAGGCTCGGAAATTGCGGTAATATAAAAATGCTCGATGTGGATGTTCTTTTTTTATTAAGAAGAGTGGAGGAGGATGAAGGGGGACGGAATAATCGGATGTGTTCATTGAAGGTTCCTGAGTGGTTAGTGTTATTTTTTGTTGAATGCGGTGTTTAATTGGCTGGGGTTTAGTAAGACGGATTTATTGAAAAAGTATAGTTTTTAAGACTGAATTATTTAATTATTTTTCACTTAAATTATTACTATTTTATTTAACTATTATTATTTGTAAATACAATGTTTTTGGTGACCCTGTATGAAGTCGATAGGTACTTTACAAGATAGAGTACTATTGAATGATTCCCAGAAAGATATATTTATTTTGATAAATAATGCACATGATAAAATAAGTGTACAAAAAATGACCTTCGATATTACTTTCAAAATTAACACGACACTAGAAAATTTTCCTTTGTTGTTCGTAATTTTGATAATAAGATAATGTTCTAAAGTTATTTTGAGACTATTTTGACGGAAGATTAAATTTAAAGTTAAATATAAAACAAGCATGGAATGTGCTATAGCAACAAGAAATATCGCCTTTATTAAAAATTTTAACAACGACTAACCATAATTGAAAATTCAAAATTTTGTTATCAAACGAAGATGTGGCAAGCAACCAGATTGTTTTAACAACAAAAAGCAAATAAGTTATCATAGAAACAATAATAAATGCAACTAGGGCGCAAAATGATTGCTTATAAAAGATTCTGTAGGAAGCAGTTAAATTTAGCCCCGCCCACCCACCCGTTCTCTCATTTTTGCTTCAGAAATAAGAAATAAATGTTATAACAAATAAGTAATATAACAAAAAAATTACTGCTTGCTCATAAAACTAGAAAAAGCTGAATTTAGCCCCGCCCACAACATTTTCCAATTTAGTTATTGGAAGTATGTTAAACCATTAGTCAAAATTTATTCGTTCATGCCCCCCAGGAATCGATGATGTCATCTTACAATTTTGTTGAATAAATGTTATTTAATGATAAAAAGTAGCATAGTCCTGAACTTGTGGTCTATAAATACGCTATTGAAATCTTTCGGTTTTTCGATTTCTCAGTTTTTCAATATTTTGATTTTTCAATTTTTCAAATTTTGACGTTGCTAAATTTTCAGTTTTCCACTTTCTGAAGTAATCTTTTTTTTTATTTTCCTATTTTCCGACTTACCAAAGTTTCAATTTTTTCGATTTTTGAATGTTTCCATTTTTAAAGCTTACAATTTTTCGACTTTGCGTCTTCAGTTTTTGGAGTCCTGAAATTTTGATTTCTAGATTTTTTACTCTCTGGATTTTCAATTTTTCGTTAAACTTTAGATTTTTCAATTTTTCAACTTTTCCGTTTTTCTTTATTTCTATTTTTCAATTTTTGGAATTATTTTTAAATTTTTCTTTTTTAAAATTTTTCGATTTTTCAATTTTTTGATTGCTCGATTTATCGAATTCAGATCTTTCAATGTTTTGATTGTTCGATTTTTCGATTTCTCGATGTCTCAGTTTTTGAATTTTTCAATGTTTCGATTTTTGGATTTCTTGCTTTTTCGATGTGTCGATTTTTCAGTTATCCAATTTTGCAAGTTTTTAAATTCTGGGGTTTGGATTTCTCGATTTGTAGGTTTTTCAGTTTTTCGATTTTTCAATTTTACAATATTTTAGTTGTTCAATTTTAAATTTTAGAGTTTTCGATTTCTCGATTATTTTATTTTTCAGTTCTTCAGTATTTTTATTTTTCAATTTTTCAATTTTTGACGTTGCTAAATTTCCAGTTTTCCGATTTCTAACTAATCTATTTTTGATTTTCCCATTTCTTGACAAAGTTTCGATTTTTCAGTTCATCAATTCTTCGATTTTTCGACTTTGCTTTCTTGGTTTTTCGATTTCTCGATTTTCCAATTTCTTAATTTCTCAATTTTTGGATATTCCTTTAAATTTTGGGATTTTTCAATATTTCGATTCTTCGACTTTTCGATTTTTCGAGTTTTTATTTTTTGGATTCCCAGTTTTTCGTTAAGCTTTAGATTTTTCAATTTTTCGACAGTTTTATACTTCGATTTCCCTTTTTTTTTTAATTTTTCAATGTTTTAATTTTCCAATTTTTACCGTTCTACATTTTTTGGATTTCTCGAGTTTTCAGTTCTTCTTTATTTCAATTCTTCAATTTTTTTAATTTCTCGACTTATCGAATTCAGATGTTTCAGTGTTTCGATTGTTCAATTTTTCAATTTTTAACTTTTCTTCTCGGCTTTCGACTCCTCAATTTCTCCAATCCTCTGATTTTTCGATTTTTGGATTCCTCGGTTTTTCGATTTTTTACTTTTGGGCTTTTCAATTTTTCGATGTTTCGATTTTTCAGTTACCCGATTTTTCATTTTTCAATTTTTTAAATTCTGGGGTTTCGAATTCCCGATTTGTCGAGTTTTCAGTTTTTCGAATTTTTATTGTTTGATATTTTATTTCTCGATTTTTCAATTTTGCAATATTTTTAATTGTTCAATGTTTTAAATTTTTGACTTTTCGATTTTTTATTTTTCAGTTTCTCAATATTTCTATTTTTCAATTTTTGACGTTGCTAAATTTCAGTTTTCCGATTTCGTAAAATAGATTTAATTTTGATTTTCCCATTTCTTGGCTTCAGAAAGTTTCGATTTTTCAGTTATTACTGCATGCTTCAAGTACGGTATCTATAGGACGTAAAACATAAAGAAAAGAAAATTGAAAATAAATGTTCGGGAGAAAGTAATAATGTAACAATTTATTTTTAGTTTGATACACCAGAAGTAAAGACCGAAATCAATGTACAGGGTGTTTCATCTTTCAAACTAATATGTCGACATAGAAACTGAATCTGGCAACTATGTTACAAAAAAACTTTATTCAGAGATATCACTGAACGTGTGAAGACAATTTTTTTTTTGTTAAATGGAACCGCTCATTTTGTCTTTTTTTTTTTCTAGAGAATAAAAATAAATTATTAAATAATTTATGTCCACTTGATCTAAAATGTCACTCTTGTTTTTTAAGAGCCCCTATACTTCGGATTAATTTTTTGTTAAGTTTCTTCTTTTTCTTAAATAATTATGAAAAAATTAGGAAAAATCTCAATTTTTTCATTAATTATGAGTTATTTATTTCTATAAAAAACAAATATTTTAAGGACAGTAAATTTAATCTGCCAAGTTGCCAAAATCGCTATCTCCGCTTGTCAGATTTTTGGGACACTCTATATATTAAAGAAAAGACAAATTGACGAAACTATCCAATATACCGGGCGTTATAATAATCATTAATCCTTGCTAGAAGTTAAATAAATTTTTATTTTTCGAAATTAAGCTCAAGAGATATTTCAAAATTCTATTTTCTCGACGTTCCACAGCTTGCAGAATACGAAAATGCCTCTTTCTGTTTCCGAACATCTGCCCGTTTGTACGTCGAACTGATTATTTTAAAAGTTTTTTGTAAAAAATTAGACAAATAAAAATAAATGGAGTGTCTGTCTCCTCTAAAAAACGGAAATTTAATCTGTCAAGTAGCCAAAATCGTTATCTCTGTTTGTCAGACCTTTGGGACACCTGTATGTTAAAGAAAAAATTAACTGGCGCAACTACCTAATATACCGGGCGTTAAAACAATTATTAATCATCGCCAAAAGTGATTTATTTTTTATTTTTTGGAACTAAGCTAAAGAAATATTTAAACATTCTCTTTTCTCGGCGTTTTACAACTTGCAGAATACGAAAATGCCGTTTTCTGTTTCCGAACATCTGTCCATCTGTATGTTGGATTTATTACTTTGAAATTTTTTGTTGTAAAAATTAGACAAACAAAAATATGTGGAGTGTCTCGTCTAGAAGACGTAAATTTAATCTGCCAAGTTCCCAAAATCGCTATCTCTCCTTGTCACATTTTTAGGACACTCTGTATGTTAAAGAAAAGAGAAATTGACGAAACTATCCACTATACCGGGCGTTGTAATAATCATTAATCCTTGCTAGAAGTTAAATTAATATTTATTTTTCGAAATTAAGCTCAAGAGATATTTCAAAATTCTATTTTTCGACGTTCTACAGCTTGCAGAATACGAAAATGTCGCTTTCTGTTTCCGAACATCCGCCCGTTTGTACAACGAACTGATTATTTTAAAAGTTTTTTGTAAAAAATTAGACAAATAAAAATAAATGGAGTGTCTGTCTCCTCTAAAAAACGGAAATTTAATCTTTCCAGTAGCCAAAATCGTTGTCTTTGTTTGTCAGACCTTTGGGACACCTGTATGTTAAAGAAAAAATTAACTGGCGCAACTACCTAATATACCGGGCGTTAAAACAATTATTAATCATCGCCAAAAGTGATTTATTTTTTATTTTTTGGAACTAAGCTAAAGAAATATTTAAACATTCTCTTTTCTGGGCGTTTTACAACTTGCAGAATACGAAAATGCCGTTTTCTGTTTCCGAACATCTGTCCATCTGTATGTTGAATTTATTACTTTCAAATTTTTTGTTGTAAAAATTAGACAAACAAAAATATGTGGAGTGTCTCGTCTAGAAGACGTAAATTTAATCTGCCAAGTTGCGAAAATCGCTATCTCTGTTTGTCACACCAACCTTATATATTTAAGAAGATTCTAAAATAACGAATCAACTTTTTCGTATTTTCATCGAGACGACCAAAAAATCAGTTAATTAAAGGATTTTAAAAAAAGTCATTTATATTTCACGGACTAACAGAATCCAGAATGATAAAATAACGAAATAACTAGAAAG